TTTTTTTTTTTTTTTTAAACAGAACAAAAAAAAAATAATCCTTTTTTTCCCCCACCTTTGGGTTACACATGCATTTTAAAAATCATTGTCAAAGAAAAAACTGTTATTTTTCAAATTTTCTTATTTAAATTTCTTTACCAGAAAGGAGCTTTAGTAACACATGTGTTTAGTCCTGAACGATTGAAATGCCAAATTTAATTATGCACCCTTAACACCTGCAGGCTTCACCAAAGCCAAGTCAAAGGAATGTGTATCTTGCGAATCAAGATGTTGAGTAAAATTTTGAAATTTAAAAAAAAAAAAGCTTTCGTTAAACTTTTTGTTTAAAATTAAATGTTTTTTGTTTTTTTGTTTTGTTTTTTTTTTAAAAAGGTCGTACATTCCGGACAGAGAGCTATGTTCAATACGACCAGGGCGAGCGAATTCTTTCTCTTAACATTAGGATCAAAATATCATCAAAGATTTCGCTTCATGTTCTGTACAAATTGACCAGTGTGCTACCCCATTTGTTACCAAACCAAAATAAAGCTCATACATTAAGTCGTGATTGTCACTAATGGAGTTCGAAGATGGCACATAATCAAGCTAGAGAAAGAATTTAGTAATGTTTGGTTTACATAATTATAGTTGTAAAATGCGGTCCTGGTGAAAATGTGTATTTATTTATGTGCTGAAAATGAATACTTAAAATGCAAAAAAAAAAAAAAATATTCTCATGTTTTTTTAATGTGTATTTATTTATGTGCTGAAAATGAATACTTAAAATGCAAAAAAAAAAAAAAATATTCTCATGTTTTTTTTATGCAAGACGAGAATCGTAGTCATTTGAGTGTTGGTGTAGTTTTTTTTTTTAACAGTTAATTTTAAACAAAATCTTACATGCTGATAAATCATGATGTTCCGCTATGAGACTCTTTAGGATGCAGTGTAAAGTTTGTGTTAATCACATCGAATCTACCATAATAAGTTTTACGGAACGTAACGAGGGAACGAAACTTAAAAACGAATGTTGAGACAGTTTGATCATGTACTAACGCCCTATCTATAGTACCTCAAGTCTCTAGAGATCATACCACTTCACATCAGGACTTGACATGTCCTTCTATAGAACAAAAAATCTCTACATATTATTCTTGAATACCTTTTTAGACATATGTGACATATATTTTAAACATATTTAAAGAACCCAAAAGACCTTCAAATCACGCAACTAAAAACTGGCAAATGTTATCGAAGTGTTCTACTTGTAAATCGGGGCATATATTTGCAGACTTAGAAACCCCACGTATCTCCATGTGCTGCTGATAGACCACCAATTTCAAATACACCAGTTAAAGAATTTATAAGATGAAAGAAATGCATCAAAAGATGCCCTATTTTGTTTGTCTTAATACTTCAAAGGAAGCTCAGAACTGTTCAAACTGTAAAACTTACTACTCAGGTTGTTGTTGTTGTTTTTTTTTTGTTTGTCGTCATAGTTATTGCAACGAAGGTGGTTACTGTTTTATAAAAAGTAATGTTAAACGACAAGCCAGTAAAATGGTGATCAGAGAAGGTATACAAGATCATGGCTTAAGTAAGCCATAAATGGTACACGAATTCATGGCACCGGTAAGCCATAAAAGGTATACAAAATCATGGTATCAGCAAGCCGTAAAAATGATAGGAGCAGCACTCTGGTAAAAGTATGTACTTTTTTGAAGTGCATGACAATGTTATCATAGATGTGCAGGATGATGTCATTGGTATTAGTGCATGCCAATGTCATAGATAAGCAGTACAGTCTCGTCATAGAAGTGCATGATGATATCATCATAGATTACAGAACGATGTGAATTGCTTTTTTAAGACAAAAAGCTTATTGAAAAATAATTCCAACTGCTTTATTCCAGATCTCAGTTTCATCTTGGTAATAAGACTTATTTTGACCTAAGAAAACAATCCATTTTATAAGCACATCTAGCACAGACAAGCTGCAACACTAGGGTCTACTGGAACTGGAAAGCTATATCTCAATTCCACGTAGAACAACAAGAGTTTGAATTTTAAAAAAAAGACTTATAGTAAAACAAGAACTATATAATTCAAAATAAAATGTAATTGCAGAATGCTTAATCAAGGGAAAAAGTAAAGAAAAAAAAATAAGCAAAGTTAAAAGAAAAAAAAAAGTAAATAAAAAATAAAAAGTAAAATCAACAATAACACTTTTAGCCATTGTGAAATGGAAAAGGTAATAGGCTATTAGCTTTTTTATACGTCTCATATCATTGCGTGTGATTATATACTTGTCAAAAAAATCCTGGCAGATATGCTTCAGAATACCTCTCATCATTATAATCAACGTTTGAAATACATATCACCTCGTACACATTTCAATATCAAGAAATATAATACCTGGATTTCCACACTTTTCCTGTTAACATAGGAGCCATTAGGAAAAATTCAATATTTAAAAAAAAAGAAGATCAGTCGCGTATGTTTCTCTCCTCGTTATTTGCCATACCAATCTCGGTGTCTTCTTGTCAGAAGTATTCGAAAATACTCGCTATATTCATATATAAGTTATTTCATTTTTAAATCTCTATATTTATATCCTTATTCTTTTCATGATCTCTTTACCTCTCTCCTTGTACATCACATATGCTCTTACTCGCTCTCTAAATCTTTCAATTATACTTTCACATTAATTTTTTTTTCTTTGCTCTCTATATATCTTCCGTACTATTAGTCTGTCTTAGTAATTCACTTTCTCTCAATCTCCCTCCCTCTCTCTCTCCCTCTCTCTCCCTCTCTCTCTCTCTCTCTCTCTCTCTCTCTCTCTCTCTCTCTCTCTTTCTCTCTCTCTCTCTCTCTCTCACTCTCACCACACACAAAATCATAAAATTTTGTTTATTACTCTCTCTCTCTCTCTCTCTCTCTCTCTCTCTCTCTCTCTCTCTCTCTCTCTCTCTCTCTCTCTCTCTCTCTCTCTCTCTCTCTCTCTCTCTCTCTCTCTCTCTTTCTCTCTCTCTCTCTCTCTCTCACACTTACCACAAACAAAATCGCATAATTTTGTGCATTGTCAAAGTACTGCATTGTTTTTGTTTGATCTAAAGAAAAAAAAAATAATGAAAGAAAATACAATTATATATACATCTTTATTTCCAATTAAGGCCAACTCCAATTATTTGACAGTAAAGAAAAGATAGCTTTGTTTACTACAAACGTCGGGACATGGTTTGACGTCTCTATACCAAAAACATTTTCCACCCTCAAAATCTCTGATAAAGTTGTATATAGTTATTTTATGGTTGTGCCTGTCAAGAAACTTTATAATAGTTCTATCTACTATATTAAAATTTAAAAAAAATAATAATAACGTAACCTAACTTGCTCTACAATCCACTTTGCTGAGACTGTGAAGATTAAATTCTTTTAATCATGAGATTTTAAATAAAAACAGAATTCCAAATAGAATGGACCTCCTAGCTAAACGGGTACTCTCTCATTCCAACCAAGACGAATGTATTCCTAACTTTAATAATGCAAAGTACACATCTGCCTCTACAAGCCTTTCCTCCATTGAACCTGGAACAATAAATAACTTCACAAACTTTCAAGGTTATAGAAATCCATGGAAAGGAGTTAAAAATAATTCCCGCCCCTATTCTTCCAAACAAAATTAATAAATGAAAAGTTAATAATGTGTATTTAACTGCTCCTGCTATGACAAGCGCTCATGAAATATTAATGTGTATGTCAACTGTATAAAGACGCGGGATCGCGAATTTTAATTACATAATCAATATTTACGCTCGCTCTTAACTCACAAAAACTAACACCCAATGGACTTTAGTTTTGTTCATTGGAAAAAAATTGAACGTTAAAATTATAATTGCAGCACTGTTGACTTTTGTGTGTTTTGTTTAATGTTCGTTTAGTCCTAACATGAGCGTTGGAATAATAATTAATATAATTATAGCTGCACTGTTTAACACATAGGACAATTAAGAAATAACCGATGTGTGAGTGTAAGTTTGTGTAAGGATATTGTTTACAAGCAGAAGCAATTCATTCATTAATTATTATTGGTGCAACAATTACCAGTAATAAGAGAAGTTGCGTGAAAAAAATTGAGTAAAATTGATGTGATCTTTTACCCTGAGTGATGATATCCTAAGACCCTTAATTCAAAGTGATGATGTGCGAATTTAATATACATTATCTATTGTAGATGAGAGAGCGCTTTATTTAGTCATAGTGTTAGAATGAATGTTTCCTAGGGACATAAACCCTAAAACAATTATTTCTTCGCGTTTCTGGTTCAGTGCATACTCCTGAAAAAGCAAATTGTTGCCTTTGTTCACAAAAATATTTAAAACATAAAAATTTTAAAAAAAGTTAAAGTAAATATATTTAATCTTCATGGAATTCGCTTTTAACTTTCCATTTTCCTGGTATTGCATTGTCGTGGTGTTGATGAGTGAAAGAAGCGCCATCTATTTCGTCATTGTTTACCTCTCTACATTTAGTTGTTGGTATCAATGTTCGACACAAAACAACTCGACAGCGCGCTGACGACTAGTCCAGGAACCATATCATATCGCATTATACATTTTAACATGTCCAAATAGGCTGTTGGTAACTGTACAGCGTGTCCATAGTAAGTAAATTGAGATGAATATTTTGTAAACATCATCTTCTAGAATCATGTAACACCATACCCTTTAAATTAAGACATTCGATTGGCAGTATTATATGACGTAAATTGCTATTACAATCTTCTAATAAAATTCATTTATAGAGTGCTTAAATGCCATTTTGATTAATTGAAACGCAATTTTAATTATATAAGTTTATTGATATCTAACCGGACAGTAATAGCACATACCTACCAAGACGATCAGCTGGTTGTTGACAGAGAGGCCCTCTGGGTGGATGAAACAAAAGACTGGTACGTTTCACAACGGGACATGGAGATATTGGACCTGTCCTTAACCATTACCGTCCACGGTGTTCTGTCGATCGCCGGTATCGCCACCAACATCGTGAACATGGTGATCTTCCTCAAGCTTGGTCTGGAGGACAGTATGAGTGTTGGACTGCTGGCACTCTCTTTCACGGATCTCTCAGTGACCGCCATACAGCTGGCCGGGTGCAGCTCCTACCTGGTGAATGTCATTTACCCCGAGAGCCCCATCGATCCGTGGTCTCTGGGCGCATTTGTCTTCAGCTGGGCCCGGTACATCACCTACTTGATCTCATGCTGGATAACCACGATGATATCAGCCGAGAGGTGCTTTTGTGTGGTCTCCCCTTTTACCGTAAAGCGAGTTTTCACCAAAACACGTTGCGTGTGCGTCATTCTGACCATCTACTTGGTCCATTTCGGCATCCACCTACCAATCTTTCTTTACGCCAAAATGGAGTGGACGCGAAAAGCTATCGCTGAAAACACAACCATCCTCGGGCGCTCTGTCTTGACCGTGGTCTTCAATGATGACTCGGCCATGTGGGAGATCTTATCAGATCTTATAGCTGGGGTTGGGCTTTCGGTCTTGTCTCAGGTCCTCCTTGTGGTCTGCACGTTTTGTATGACCTACTCTCTGAAAGTATCTTCTAGAATCCGCAGTAACACCAGCACGGTCAGTGGAGATTCAGTATCTAAACTATCCGACATTGCATCAAGAAAACCAGATCACAATTTGTCAGACCGTGAAAGGAGGCTGGTTAAGGTCGTGTTATTTCTGGCTGTCATTTTGACCGTTTGTAACATTCCAAGATTTCTGACCACCGCCGTGCATCATATTCTCCCAGGTATGAATCTTGGAGCGTATAAGAACCTCGACACTTTGCTGTGGGAAGTTTCGTATATTTTCGGCACGATTTGCTGCACCAGTAATATTGTGGTCTACTTACAGCTCAACTCAAGTTATAGAAAAATGTTTAAAAAAATATTATTTTTAGATGATTAGTTTTATGAAAGGCATGATAACTATGATAAGTCCCTACACATGTATTATCGACCGAAACAATATGTGTAAAAAGTGATTTTATTCTGCCCTTAAACGAACAAAAATAAATTAGACTATATTTTTAAAGCTTTAATTAAGATTAGACATTAAACAAATTGAAACGTGTCGGCAAGTCTCTTCATCAGTACAATAAAAAGGTCACTAATATGATTTTACATTTAATTAACATAAATTAGAAAGTAAACCAAACGCCATGTAACTATCGTTTAGCAATAGATAGCAGTATGTTCAAAATGCTTGACAGTGATCACCAAAACATGACATTGAATTACAACAACAAGGAATATATCAGATCATAGTCTTTTCTAAATTAAAAAAAAATAATAATAAATGTAAATATATATTTTTTAAAGCATTTCCTTCAAGAACGATATGAAACACAAGTAAAATTTGCTACTATTTTGTTTTTAATGCATCATGCAAAGAAAATATGTGCAGAAGGATATTAAGACATAGATAAAAATGTAGGATCATTTTTAAAAACAATATATTTATTACTTTTTTGAAAATATATAAACAGTGTTGTGTACCTGAATCATTTTGTTACCAGAGAGAAAATAAGAATATGTTAACATTATGAATACCGCCATAGTTTGGAAGGCTATTAATAATATAAGAAAAAATGTGTTTTAGAACAAAAGATCAGTTATCCTCTAAAATAAACATATACATAGATTTGATCAATTTTTTAATTATTTTTTTTTATATATTATTATTTTGATTTTTGAAAATACTTTTTTTACCCTTTCAAGTCAAGGTTATTGAGCTATTGCTCTATATCTGTCGATATTAAACATTTTTCCATGCTAATTAATTTACCTTAGTCCAAACCCAGAAAGGAAAAAGCTTTAACATTGATTTCCATGGGACTCAGGGCCGGATTAAGTCATACTGGTGCCCTAGGCACAAACCCACATGGGTGCCCCCAACTGCCCCGGGCCCCCGATCCTCCACTAACTGATGGTATGTTCAGTATTATGCAAACAACTAACAAAGAATTCAGTTGTTAAATGTAAACACATATGTTTGTACTACTATCACTCATATAAAACCTACAATAAGGTATTTCTGTATTAAAATAATAGGTAATTAATTTTGTAATAATAGTAGACAAAAATACTGTAACTTTTTTGATAGATAGAAAGTAAGAGAGAGCGCACATTTATATTTTAAAGTTTTTTTTTTTCTAGATTTACGTCTGGCAAAGTTTTTGAGCACATCAATCATCAAAGTTAATTTTGCGCAACAAGTCTGCCTCAATCATCATCAAAGATAATGAATCAAGCCTTTCTTGTTCCATTGTCGATCTACTTGGATTTTTTTGTACGTTTCAACTGAGAAAAAGAGCGTTCAGTTGAACAGTTCGTAACCATTAATGTTAAAAATATGCGCAAGGCGATTTCTACATTTGGAAAAGCACACTCGATGTTGTCTCTAACTATTAGTTTGTAGAGTTCTTCATGACTGAACGTGTTGTTCTCAGATTTTGATGCACGAAACTTGTGGCGAATATATGAGTGGAACTGTTCTAGTTCAGTATATACATGATTGTTCAGATCTTCAGGATAAGCATTTATTAGTCCTTCACAACACTGAGATGTTTGTGGTACATTGACCAAACAAGAAAATCGAACTGCTAGATCATTATATATCTGTCCTCGTCTACTCATCTCTGTCTCAAGTTTGTCAACAATGGTGTAGAAAGCAGTTATACGAAATTTGTCTCTTGCATTCTGAGATACCTCAGGGGCATCACCATCAATGATCACTGTCTTTCGTTTACGATTACGGGTCAAAGTTGACTTATAATCCACACCTGGTGCTATTTCTTTTGCAGCTTCTTCAAATCTTTCAAATTCATTCCTAGATTCATGTACAAGTGATCTGCCGGTGAAGAATACAAAGCTAGGTATGTTAGCATTCAGTCTTTATGAGTAGCGCTTTGTTCATGGTTATCAACTTGAATGTTATTTTTACAGTCACTGAACCCATTTTTATCAGCCAAACTTGTGGAACCTTTAGACGCAAAAACTTTAAAGATTGAAGCTATAGCATCCAGACTTAACCAGTCAAGGGTTGACTGGGTTAAGGATCATCAATATAATTCAACATCAATTAAAGAAATTTTAAACTTAAATTTCAAATACTTCACCATCAGTTTTTTTAAAAAATGAAATTGAAAATAATTGGTACAGGGCCATAACATGCTAATGGCTTGAAGAAAATACAACTGATAGCGTTGAAGCTGCAGAGGAATAGAGTAAGGGGGAAAAAAGGAATGAAGTTTTCTGTTGTCTTGTACAGGGGTTGGCAACGCCGGCCTTAGGTCAACTTTCGTCATGTGCAAGGCACCCGTTTATCGCCCCTTTCCCTGTCCCTGTGTGGCTCCGCTCTTTTTTCGGTTGGTCCCAACCCCAGTGTTAGCATCCAAATTAAGAATGCAACTTTCATTGTATGAAAAATCCTTATTTAAAAAGCGATTGTACGAAAAGTTACAATACAGTTTCTCACCCAAGGTTCACACTTCACTATAAGAAACGAAAGGAATTTATTGATAGTAAATAGGAAAAAAAGGTTCGATAACTTTGTTTTTAATTTAAATTTTGGACCATAACAATTTGTCAGTTAAGAGTTTTAAATCATAATGAGAAAAAACCCGAACCAAACCGGAAATTTTAAAAAATAATACGAATAGTAATGGAGAAACAAATACAATTTAAATTTGAAAGTGAAGACTGATTCCCTTAGTCAGCCGAGTCAGGTACAAGTCACTAAAAGAGATTGAGGGAGAAACTTAAAAGCAAACGACAATCGCTGATAAAAGGTAATTAACCTTAAATCTTAGGTGTAGCCATATTTTTAATAGTATCAGTTCATTGTACTTACATTCACTACTCATTTTGGGTAAATTTACGTTCGGCGCGCCACTCATTTCCTCTTGCCGCCACCTTGGTTGTTATGACTGTTAAAAGTGCAATTCAGGTGCATATATTATTTCTTAATCTATCTCGTATTATCTAATTCTAACTCAAGTAAAAATAAGTTTTACTAAACTAAATTTTATTATTTAATAATAATTCAATTTTGAAAGGAAAGCACTGAACTCTATGCCATGCTAAAGTAAGCCTCTGAATGATCTCTCCATTTATTTTCTCACCCTGCCCTATGTCTAAGTATGCTGTTTATTTGTATAAGTCATAAGTTGGTATGCTGAGAATCATAATCATGATTAATGAACTTTTTAAAAAAAATGAAAGCCACGATATCAAAAAAATAAACACTGGAATTTGCAGCTTAGGCTTAGGGGGTTTTGAACTTAATTATACTAAATAAAATCATTCATTGTGGGCCCAACATTTTGTTCTTTCTTATATGAGCTATATTACTATCTAAAAACAATTTCAAACAAAGTCTCCTGCATGGGTGAATGTAGGGTTACCATGCGTATGGGTTTACTTGGACATATCCTCTTTTCAGGACCCTGTCTGGGTGGCTTTCCAGCAATAAATTTAATGCGATCAAGCACCATCACAGCAATAAATCAATAGACTGCATTGTCACCTATTAAAAACAATTTTACGTGATTCGGATATGCTCACAAAGATTATGCAGCGTAGAGTCAGTGTTATGTTATATGTCATTAACACTCACTCAGCTGATTTGATGCAATTACAAGTTCATAATTGAAACAATTTTCAATAAGAACAATATTTCAATAATGGAGCCGGCTACAGGTTGATAAACAGATTTGATGAAAATTTTAAGTGTCCTCTTCTTCATCTTGTGATAATCAACCCTAGGTGAATGGGTCTTGACCAAACTTAGACTAAAAAGCCAGCTCTTTCCTATGATATGCTCTATCTATGTCTGTGTCAGATGTATTTGAAAATTTGAGTTATAGTACCTAACTTAGTATTAGTACACATAAACTGGATTATCGATTATCAAGTTCTGAACTCATGATATCCACTCCTTTGAAACTGGGCTGGGACTGAGGCTGGGAGCCCCAATTGAGTTTTTCCTAATATAAGCTACCGGAATAGAAATACCAGCGCTGCCAGAACTGGTACTTGAACTGCACTTTTATGGCCACAGTGCTGCCAGAACTGGTACTTGAACTGCACTTTTATGGCCACAGTGCTGCCAGAACTGGTACTTGAACTGCACTTTTATGGCCACAGTGCTGCCAGAACTGGTACTTGAACTGCACTTTTATGGCCACAGTGCTGCCAGAACTGGTACTTGAACTGCACTTTTATGGCCATGAGCTCAGGTTATATAGGCAACCAAGATGTCGGCCATTTAAAAAATAAATTAGTGAAAGCACACTGCACACGTCTGCCAAAGTGGGAAGGGGGGGGGGAGTGAATGTGCTGTTGTAGCTACTTGCAGAGAGAGAAAAAATGGAATTGAACATTAAAATTTTCAGCCAGTACATTAATTTCATGTCACGCATAGCAACTTTATTGTATCCCTCTATATATGCGGCAAGAAGTCTCAACAGCCTGCAGTTGCGCCATTCCCTCATCTAAAACATGTGCTACAATTACACATAAAACAATACAAAATATTTTTAAAATAATGAAAACCCAACTTACACTTTCATCAAATACACGTGTACACTCTATAACTTTATTGCAGGTTCCACAAAGCATAAAATCCAAAAGTTGTCAGAAAAATTAATGGTCAATACAATACCCATTTTCCAAAATACTGAAAAAAATTGTTTTTTAATTATTACCCACCCAATGATATTGTCATTTAAAACATTCCATCGGCATATTAATATTTTTTAAAAAAATGAAGTTAAGTCTAGTAACAATCCGAGAATAAACAAATGGAGAGAATCCTACACTGAAACTCAAAGTGGCACGCCAAACATAAATTAGAATTAACATTGAATTATTGATCATTACTACATTCATATATATGCTATGTTGTAATGTAGCCTACATCATATTTAATTAATGAGGATCACATGATTTACTAAGGCTACACTGTATCACTCATCACTGTCATTACCATGCCATTGGTCACCATTGAATGTAGACATCATAGGAGGCCTATATTATGGCTTTATGCCCTAGCCTATACTTGATTACTACTTCTTTAGAGTAAGACAAAAGATTTGCTAGTTACTAGTGATAACATTACTATGACCTTTCTATTGAGGGTCTTACTAATTGACCAAGGCCCTGCAAATCTTAAATTAAGGTAGGTAGATCAATACTCTTTTCACACATCCATTTTGCACATGTCGAAAAATGGTGCAATATGCGGCCTATTTTTTTTTTAAAAAAAGGCTTTCGTTGACCCAGATAAAAATATTGAGCATCAAAATTTGAATAAATACAAGGTTGATCATCATCAGTTACCGCATTGTTCGGTTTCTACAAACATCACTATTAATTACATTATATGGTGATGCCGCTGCCGCACACTGTTTGACAAAAGCCGGACAGTTAGTGTTTTAAAGCTTAAGTTCTTTTCTTTTTTTTTTTTTTGGTGGGTAGTAAGCTGACAACTAAAAGACTAAATGTTTAATCCCCAACCAGTTTTGGAATTTTAGAACATAGATATGGAAACTTCTCTCAATAAGCAAAAATTCAAGCCCTCTTAGGGTGACCTAAGTTATATTTCAGCCATTTAGTCAGGGATGACGGGGCAGATATTGACAGTCTAGGGCATTAAATACACGTTTTATTTTATTCTTTTAATTTTTTCCTTTGAAATCGTATGTGCTTTCAGGTCCTAGTTAAGTTTTAAATTATACTAGATCTTTTTCTCCTAGCTTAGCACTTTGTGCCAAATAAATTCATTTCTGAAAAGATGAATTAAGTTTGATTTGTAAGCCATTCATATATTTTTCCATTTAATTTTTCATTTATAACTTATTAATAAGTTATTCAAATGAAGAAAAATCGATTTGTATGGTCCAATTTAAAACTGAAATTAATAACTATCTACTTTCTGCCATCTTAGTCAAGTATGTTATTATGCTAATTCATGAATGAGCTGATTCAAACATCGCTCTAACTTATCATAAACATTTTCTTAGATTTTTTTTTTTCAAAAAACGTTCCACTTATGGCTACTTACGGAGGAGAGGATTCAAAAGATTCCGACAGTATTGGAGAAGACTCTGACCCCAAATTGCAGCAAAAAAACACTGGTAAGCCCAACAAATTCCCTAACACAGGGTCTACTGTGATAAAAATTGTCTAGCCAAAAAAATGTAAAGATTGACAGCATTCTGAATGTGGCCAGAATCATAAGAAAGACTACAAAATGGTAACTAAGGGTTGTGATTGTTCCAAAATTTTTTAATACTTTAGTTTATCATCTTGAAGCTCTAGGTACATATTCAATGTTAAAAGGCCATTTTTTTGTGTGTATTTCTTAACTTAATTACATTTTATCAAGTCATGAGAGATATTTCATTATTTGCAGAAACATATTGATTGTGAAATAAGCATTAACACATTTAATTCCTCACTATGAAAAACAAGTAAATTTTGCAAGATGTATTAAACATATTGACCCGTTTCATAAAGTAAAATACAATTATAAAGAATAAAAAAGTAATTAAAATTCCTCTCAGATTTAATTACAGTTACATGTTCTATAATGGAAACTATTTTATTTATCAATTAAGTCTCTTTTTTTACATATACCTTGAAGTCTTCATACTTTATCATCATTTTTTTAATACTTATTTCAGGTGAAATCTTTGAATTTCCATTTTTCGGAGGTTAGTTGTTTTAAAATTAACAACATACTTTACACATTGACATTAATTAGAGAGCGGAATGAATATTCTGTATATCTGGCTTCTGAAAATAGTGAAGATGAGTATTATGTAACATTATAACAGTGGGGAAACCTACTTTCAGCTTAAAATTAAAATAACCTCAAATGTGAACATGCTGTCATTGACATAAAAATTTATTTATACCTCAGCTGTTCAATTTGTCTTCATACAGGCCAACAGTATACCATTTCACTATTAGTAGACTTGTATAGAACAAATAATATATCATGATACTTCATTGATCTCCATTTTGTATTAAGTAAAAATTGATTATTATCATTTATAGTTGCGATTAATTATAGATAGGATTTTCATTGATTATATTTTTTTTTCATAGACGGGTCTGACTCTGACAGACCCACAAGCTGGAAAGAGGGAAAGCACATTGGTTCAGGTAGCTTCGGAAATGTTTATGAAGTGGAAGACAGTCCCCAGCACATGAACTTAGCGGTAAAACAAGTCCCTAGAAGCCGCCCATTTAGTGGAGAAGAAAAGGTACAACAAAAAGTCCTATAAAAATGTGTTCTCTCTCTGACCCAGAAAATCTTTAACTTTTAATTTAACAGTAATCTGTACAGCAAGGTTGGCATTATTGAATGTGCCAGGTCATGGGTGGGCCGCCCGTGCAGTACAGCACGCAAGCACATTAAACTTTTAACCGTCTAAAGAAATAGGGATGATTTCATATGGTGATGCATAATTGAACAACAGGCATTTCATCCTAGTTTGAGGTAATGGGCTGTACAGGTAGAGTATACAAATATTTTTTAATACAGTTTTACCGAAACCTATGGTACTGAAACTCATGCGTACTCAGAATATCGAATATGTGTTTGCATTTGTGAACATTGCTGTGCTCCAGCCTCAAGTGTCTCCTTGTAGTCAAAAGGAAGACAGGTTGGGAAGACAGGTTGGGAAGACAGGTTGGGAAGACAGGTTGGGAAGACAGGTTGTGCAGCTGTTGTTGGAAAATTCCTTTTTCAACTGAGGAAAAACAGTTTGATATTTGAGTATGATTTTTCTCATATGCTTTTACGTTTATATTCATTAAGGGGAGCTAACATTTCAAAAGGTTCCAGAACAATTTAAAGAGAAATTTTAAAAGAGGGCCAAAGCTGATTTAGCAAATATGGTGGTGGAACACACCGGAATTAGAGTGTTTGACTGGTCATTAATGTCAGCCTCCTGTTTGACTGGGCGTTAGTGCCAGCCTCCTGTTTGACTGGTCGTTGGTGCCAGCCTCCTGTTTGACTGGTCGTTGGTGCCAGCCTCCTGTTTGACTGGGCGTTAGTGCCAGCCTCCTGTTTGACTGGGCGTTAGTGCCAGCCTCCTGTTTGACTGGGCGTTAGTGTCAGCCTCCTGTTTGACTGGGCGTTAGTGCCAGCCTCCTGTTTGACTGGGCGTTAGTGCCAGCCTCCTTTGCTCACCACTGGTATAAATACAAATACAATTTCATCTTTGAGCGCTTGTAAAAATGTTGGGTAATTTTTTTAGGTCATGTTTTGGCAAATAAAAAAGAATGAATGATGCAAGAAGCTGACATAAAGTGGTGTGAAAGGTGAGATAGAGAAATAAAGAGAGAGATTTAGATGTTATTTGCTGACATAAAGTTGTGTGAAAGGTGAGATAGAGAAATAAAGAGAGAGATTTAGATGTTATTTGCTGACATAAAGTTGTGTGAAAGGTGAGATAGAGAAATAAAGAGAGAGATTTAGATGTTATTGGCTGACATAAAGTTGTGTGAACGGTGAGATAGAGAAATAAAGAGAGAAATTTAGATGTTATTTGCTGACATAACATTTCAGGCTGACCTTTTTCCAAAATTGGAAGTACTGAAACGACTCAGTCATCCCAGAATTGTCCAGTTTTATGGCTTTTGTGAATCTACTAGCGTGCTGTTTTTGTTTATGGAGCGGATGAAAGGAGTAAGACCAATTTTTTATTCTCTACTTAAATTGTAATGTTTTGGGACGACCATATGCTAATTGGATCATTTTACTAATGCAGACAATAAAATGCATTTATATTTAAAAAATCATATTGCCATACGGCAAAATATATATTGTAATTTAGAGTACCCAGTAGCGTTCTTATTGAATTATCATTAGTCCATACCCGGTAGTAAAAAATTATCTTTTTTTTAATTTTTTTCTTCAATTTTTAAAGTATTTTAAAAACTTTTATTATAATTTAATTATTGCAAGTCTCTAATTTGTAATTTTCCCACATAGGGTTCACTTGACGAACGCTTGAAAGATGAATCAAAGCAACATTTGGATGCAAGTTCCATTAGATCAGTCTTAAGACAGATGCTTGAGGGCGTGTCCTATTTACACTCAAAAAGAACATTTCATGGGGACATAAAAAGTAAATATGTTGTGTACATTGTATTCATGGCTCTATTTAAGCCCTCCTCTCTTTAAGAACAACTGACTTATCAACTGCTGTAATTTGTGACATATGTAAATCAATAATTCTTCTGAAATTGATTTTCACCTTTTTAAATGGATCATATGTGAAAATGATCTTTCATGCGAAGAGAATTTTAAGTTTAGATGAACTGAGATCATGTTACTAGATTGGACCACATAAAATCTGGACATGCTTTCAGTGGTCAGCTGCTCTGTCAATACCAGGAGTTTAAATATCTGAGAAGCATTTTTCGCAGAGGATGATAAAATTGTTTGAGAGATAACAACAAGAGTCCAGAGGGCAGATGCAGTCAGTTACCAAATAACCCTTCTACTAAGACACTCAAGAGTATAAATTGAGACTTAAGCCGAGCTATTTAACATTGTCTTAATTTAAACCCTTAGTTACCAGTATCAGGCCCTAGCTCTGAATAAAGCATTGAGAGAAAATTCTTGACCTGTGAATTGAGATGTTCAAGGCGAGCAGCTGGTAAAACGAAAAGCATTTAAATGGGTTGGCCACCACGTGAGAACTCCTGTCAACCAACCTGAGTATCAAGCTTACAATAGCAGGCACTACGGTGTCATGGGCAGTGGAACAAGATGCAGTCGGTGGATTGACTGTGTTATGGTAAACCTAAACCAGTGTTTCCAAAAGTGATGTTCACTGATCGGCACCTATTTTTCAGTTTTTACGTTAAAAGTTAACTTTAAATTTCTTTTTGAACGCATTATTTTGTTTTACTATATAGTGTAGAGCGTTCAAAAAGAAATTTGACAAAAGATTTTAACGTGTGAACTGAAAAAAAGATTCAACCAAATTTCCATTTGATCAATTTACCGTCAACGAAATTTCTTTCGATCAAATTAACGGTAACCAAGTTAAGCAAAGTGAAACCTCCATCCGTAACTTATGAACCGCAATCGGCAGGCATATGGTGATAGTCAATACAGCCCTCTTGCATTGGTCTATTTACAATCGGTAAGCAAATGGTCATAGTAACTACAGCCCTCTCGCATTGGCTTATACAAATATTGTAGAAAAAATATTTTGGCACAAATAAAAAGATACCGTTAAAAATAATTGATTCACAGGTTCGTGATGCTCGTCAAATTAAAACCCAGTGGATAAATCACCACCAGGCCTCACTTTTTGCGGCTAATCGCCAAATGTACCTTCTCGGGACGCTTCCCCACTAACAGAGGACAGAAGAAGAAGATTATCTAAAATATACCATACTTACTTTTTTTTAACATCTGTCATGTTATTTTTGCTAAAATTACTTAATACTTCCCTTTCATTTCTGATTTGTACTATCATTAGATTTTCTCCGTTTTTTATTGGTTATTTCTAATAAGACATATTTCTTTTTGAAAACCAACATACTCCACTTTTAATACCAGTAACTGTTTAAAAAAGGATATTGTTTTTATAAATAAATTTTGCAGTTTTAAATATTAAATTTTTGCTTGAGATTGCAATATTCTTTTAAAATGTTACAAATACAAAATCAGGTGCCAATATCTTGATGGATGAACATTTGCAAATCAAACTTGTTGACTTTGGTTTGTATAAAGTTTTTCAACAATTTTGGCCAGCGGATGTGCCACTAGGGACAATACGATGGATGGCTCCTGAGATGTTTTACCCTTCCAATGATTACAGCTACGAAGTTGACATATGGTATTCTTTAATTACTTTTTTTTTATTACGGTACTTCTACGTATTGGCTAAATCAGTTTGATGCATAGACAAAACAAAACAAAAAAACTAACAGAAAATGCTAGCATAAATTTGTTAACATATCTTTTTATTCTTGAGTTTTTTAAACTTATTTTTAAAAGTAATTTAATATTAATATTGTTGACTTATTTATTTCTATAATTGCATGTTTACATCACAGGGGAATAGGCTGCACTGTTGTTGAAATGGTAACCAGGAAACACCCATTCCATAATTTGAAAGAATATCCTCACGTATTTTTTAAATTGATGAGCCCTGATCCATCACCAGCCTACGATCTACCAGCAGCTTGCCCACCAAATCTAAGGGATTTTTTAAATGAAGTATTTCAAAAAGATAGATCAAAAAGACCCAGTGTGAGAGATGTTTTGCTCGGTAACCCATTCGTTACAGGTATTAATCGTATGAATATTAAAATTAAAGTTAACAGATAATTCGGTAACATAAAATGAAGATACTGCATAAAAATAATATTCTAAAAGAATTGCGCGTTATATTTTATATGATTGAAGTTTTCCACTTAAAAAGTTGCACTGTGTATGAATCTCTGAGAGTGATGTTTATGTTGTTATGAACGAGTCTCTGAGAGTTATTGTAGGGTGGAGTCTGAAAGTGGATTTGACAATTAGCATTGTAATATTATAAACAAAGAAGTTATATACAAAATAGCTCTCAGACTTAAAGGGGACATCAAAGCTCATTTGATTTTAGATTTAAAATATTAATAATCATAATATAAGTATGTTTATAATTTTGGTTGAATTAGGTAATCTGAATGAAATTAATAAATAATGCCCCAGGTAATCTAAATGAAATTAATAAATAATGCCCCAGGTACTCCAATAACTGATGCTTGGGTTCACTAGAACAGAGGTTACCACAACTGATCTTCTGGGTCTTAAACTTAAATTGTAGTTGTAGAAAATGTAGGGCATTTTAAACTTTTTGAATAGGAACATATTTCTATTCAGTCAAATGTGTATTTTCAAAAACCTTTTGTTAACTTTCTATCTTATTAAGCTAGAACTTTCTAATATCCTGTGCAGTCAGTAGTGCACAGAATACACATCCTAGGCAGTCAGTAGTACACAGAGTACACATTTGTTTCATGGTTATCAATTTGATAGGAAACAGGAAGGTATTCATCCACAAGTGAGCCAAAGCAAAGGAAGACGGAAAATCAAATCAATGTATATATATATATATATCAAGTTTTTTCCTGTTCAGTGAAAAAATAAAATAGCTCTTCAAAATGTCTCTTTAACATTACATTGAATTAATAAAGTACTTAAACATTAAAAAAACCCAGTGAAACAAGATATTAAAATTCATATAAATTTAAAATATTAATGAAAACTAAAATTCAATAGTGAAAATTGAATAAATATAGATAATGAATTAGTTATTTGAATTCTACTGCATTTCTCTATTGCAATTGTGAGTACATTTTTTTTGTTTGTTATACATCGTGGCTAAAATTTAAAACCATTTTAAGCCAACTCTATTCAGCTCTTTTGCCTTTTACATTTTTTTGGGGGGTATGCCCTTTTTTTTTTGCCGGCGTGCCTCTTTCAATGACACTCTAATGACAACCAAAGTTGAAAAAAGAAATTCCATCACGGATGATTGTTGATTTCACTTTAATTTGAAACATTATAATTTAAATTTAAGAAATTAGTTTTATGGATTTTACATCTTAGCTGAATAAAGTAACAACTGAAGGGACAATAAAAATGTAATATATAACTTTAAATTTAATAATGTATGAAAGTAGTAGAAAGTTTAGCAATCAAAGTAAAATAAAAAAAATCTCAAAATCTTTTTTTTTTTTATCACATGCTATGTAGTCTGAAATGAAGTTTGCTGAGAGCTATGTAGTCTGAAATGAAGTTTGCTGAGAGCTATGTAGTCTGAAATGAAGTTTGCTGAGAGCTATGTAGTCTGAAATCAAGTTTGCTGAGAGCTATGTAGTCTGAAATGAAGTTTGCTGAGAGCTATGTAGTCTGAAATGAGGTTTGCTGAGAGCTATGTAGTCTGAAATGAAGTTTGCTGAGAGCTATGTAGTCTGAAATGAAGTTTGCTGAGAGCTATGTAGTCTGAAATGAAGTTTGCTGAGAGCTATGTAGTCTGAAATCAAGTTTGCTGAGAGCTATGTAGTCTGAAATCAAGTTTGCTGAGAGCTATGTAGTCTGAAATCAAGTTTGCTGAGAGCTATGTAGTCTGAAATGAAGTTTGCTGAGAGCTATGTAGTCTGAAATGAAGTTTGCTGAGAGCTATGTAGTCTGAAATCAAGTTTGCTGAGAGCTATGTAGTCTGAAATGAAGTTTGCTGAGAGCTATGTAGTCTGAAATGAAGTTTGCTGAGAGCTATGTAGTCTGAAATGAAGTTTGCTGAGAGCTATGTAGTCTGAAATGAAGTTTGCTGAGAGCTATGTAGTCTGAAATGAAGTTTGCTGAGAGCTATGTAGTCTGAAATGAAGAACCCCTGATTTACATCTTTTGCATCTTTTTAAAAGACTATGGAAGCCAACGTCCCCCCCCCCCCTCTCGCCCTTTGCACCCCACAATTTTGAAGATTTCATGTTCTTGGGGTAAACGATTTGGGTTAAGCTGAAGTATTTGGAAGAAGAAAAGCAGGGGAAAAATAAGTACGTAATTTTTTTTGAAATTGTAATTATATTTTTTTCCACAAATTGTATCATAACTCAATTTGGCAGTCAATTTGTCTTTGCAAATTTAACATAACAAAGACTCGGGTTCAGATTGGCTCTGGGGCTTAATCTCCTTGGCTTTCCCCTGACTCTTTATAAGATTCTATGTTGGGTCAAATCTGGCTTCACTTTCATAAACAGGAGATGACAGTGGTGAGTCACTGATGAAAAAGGTGAGACTCGGTGAGGGGCGTGAACCTTTTGGTGGTCAAGCTTTAAATAAAGATGATCAAGTGATTGGTGACATTCCTGTGGTGTCAAATCATGGTGAAGTCAAACATATCCTCCAGGTTAGTTTTAATAATTAATACTATTAGTATTAGTTTACATTAAAAAAAAGAATTTAATGCACCATATTCTTTTTAGTTAATAAAATTATCCCCATTCTGTACTAGAAATAAGGTTGAAAGATCAATTTGTTTAATTAACTTAAAGAAAACAACACCATTTAAATGGTTGTTTTTGTGCATCTGCATTTAGTGTAATTGTAAAAAAAAAATACACTGTAAGCTAAAATATGCAGTACTAAGCATTCGCATATTAAAAGCATATGTAATTTTGTCATAGGTGCATAGCTTCAGCCGCCATATTTTTTAAGTAGTGAAAAGGAAGACGTTGTGCAGTTGAAATTGGGTCACTCGTCAGAGGAAAAAGAAATTTAAAGCTGAGCATTTTTTTCACTCATCTGTCAGTTGTTGATGTAAAGGGGGCTTGGTTTGAAAACGGTACACTGCTGGGATTTTGAAGGGTGGCACCAAGTAATATTGTTATGTTGTCTATTGCTATGAAATTTGCAGTGCTGAAACTGCATGGTGTCAATGTAAGGGGACATCTGGTCGACCTGTAATTGTTTCCACAAGCAAGAATCACGCAAATGGAACGGTGCCTGTCTACAAAACGTTAATCAAGAAACTGTGGAAGGGTTATATTTTTTAGTCTCTGCTCAAATTAGACTCCGAAAATCAGGATTGTCTTTAGCATGAAAATAAACCTCGTTTTTACGCATCAAAAGGAGCTTGGGAAACTGATTTTACATGTTGGATACAAATTTTAAGAACTGTGACACCTATCAAAGAAAATGCCACAAGGCCAAACAAATGTTATGAACATATTTTGGCATAAGAACATATTTTTGCACTACATGATCATGCCTGAACTGGCAACCACAAGTAATGTTGCTATGGAGATAAGGCAGATGCCAGATAACGCACATTAACTAGAGTCACTGGAGTCTTATGTTTTAGTTTTCCTCTCCTTTGATGTCCAAAAAAGCATGCAAGTTTGTATCAATTATTTTCCCGCGACACTCCTCAAGGGACACATAACATGTGGCAACTCCATTTGGAAAGCTCGTGCCTATATATAAAGTCTGATCGTGAACAATGATTTATTTTTATGGCTACTATACATAGGATGTGACAAATCTTTTTGAATTTCTTTTGTTGTTCGCCCATCAAAGTCGACTAGGACCAACGAGTCCATGCTCGGAATAATCTCTGGCAGTAATGAACAACCCTATCTGTCCCCTGCCCGCGGTGCCAGAGATTATGCCAGAGATTTCTTTTATAAATTATATCACAATCACTGAGAAAAAATTGGAATCGAAACCAGGTGATTGTTCACCAAGTCGATTCCAATAAAATTTTAATTTGTTAGATCTAGCTGCTGATGATGAATTGATTTGTTAGATCTAGCTGCTGATGACAAATTAATTTGTTAGATCTAGCTGTTGATGACGAATTGAAGATGTTTTCCAACACAATACTAGCATCTTTTTGTATTCATTTCTAAGCAGGATGTTTACAAAGATTACCATGAAGTTTCTTTTCCATTTTTCTTCACCTTACCTCTTTGAAACTAGCTTTTTGTCCATGAGAGTTATTAAGACATGAACAATATTTCTTTTTAACTATTTCCTGGGAGGGAAAAAAGGGGGGGGGGGAGTGTTAGTGGATTTTCAAGTGGGCAGCGTGAGTGGCCAGGGGTGTAGCTAAAGGGATGGGGCAGACGGCCCCAGGTGCCAGACTAGCGGGGCACCAAAATGTGCTTTAATGGTAATTAATGGATGAAAATAATTGGTTTCAGAGTTGAGGGGGGCATAATAATGAACCTAGTCCCTTGGCGCCATATATTCTAACTACCTTATTGCTAGATGAGCCAAATATTTTAGCTACCTTACTTTTGATGAGCCAAACATTCAAGATACTTTACTGCTAGATGAGCCAAACTACCTGTCTACCTTACTGCTAGATGAGCCAAACATCCTGGCTACCTTACTGCTAGATGCGGATGGGGTGGTCCACCCAGGTGTCATTTTTCTTTATATGGAGGGGTGGACGTCTTGGGCAACTACATTATTTTATCTTAAAAGGGAGTATGGCAAAAATCTTGGCCTGCTCAGGGTGGCATTATCAATAGCTAATGGACCCCTCTCAATAATTTTTTTGGATTATTTTAAATTCAAGCAGTGCATTTTAGAATATATTTTAATTTATTTTCTATAAGGCTATTTGATAAGGGAAGGAATTTTTCAAGCAACTGGCAGTAGTGGCAGAGGCATTATGGCATCTGGTGCCATTCATAAACTGAATACACTCCAGTTGAGGCCCACCTCAGGGAAATCATTTGGTACGAGCTTAGATTCAAACCTGTACTGTCACATTGTTTGGTGCTAGGAAA